TCCTCGATTGCGGAAAGCAGCTCCTCCAAGTTGGTTCGTTCGGGGAGAACATCTACCCCTGCAAACATCTCGCCTGCCATTCTTCTTTGTGAAACACCGAAACCAGCGTCGAATACTGTTCTCTAATTCAAAGCAGCAGTTGAAGCAAAATCACCCACTTCGTTGTGCTCTCATGCTTTACAACGAGGCTTGTTTGATCAAACCAGCAAACTATGGACTGCAATGGGATGATGGAGCATCGTTACAGCAACCATGCGTGTTGGATGCTGTTGTGATTATCTTCGGAATCATACGCCCCTTAGTTTAAACTGGTAAACCAGTTGACTGTGCCGGCCACTACCTTTGTCTCCATATTCCAAAAGAAGTCTACTTACTATTGACATCTTCGATGCTTCTTGGATTAGATCAGAATTGTAGAGCAGCTTCCTTGTCGGATGCACTAGCACCAACATTTAACTGGGAATACCCTCTTTTGTAATTCATTCGTTCAGGCTTCAGTAAAGACCATTGATCTTGACTTATTCAATATGGTATCAGATCAAGTGAGTTCTATTGCCTGATTTGGGATTGAGTATAGATGGTCAGAGATAGAGTATTATATCACATATCTTTACGAAAGTGGACAGAATCTCATAGATACCGCTGAGAGGATTAAATTTGATCTAGTGCCATTGTAGCTCACTGTCCGACATTATAGAACAAGCTATTAACTTTACCATAACCAAGGATGGGAAGCTTAACCGGCAGAACTATCCGCTATGGTCGTTCAAAATAGAACAGAGTTTCATAAAAAATCACATTTGGCATGCAGTTATTGAAGGTACACCAGGCTTCATCATTGAAGATCTAATGGAGCTTGATAGGCCGCGTACAACTGCAGAAATACGTGATGCAAAAAGCAAGGCTTTGTACATGCTTAGAAAGACTATGAAAATAAGATTCTCACAAGATATACTCGAATACGTGATCCAACCAAGCTATGGTTGGAACTGCAACGAGCATGCTTGGGGAACACAATGTCCGAGCGAAGCATGCTGTGACCACAACTTCTTGGTTTTCAATTTGCAGAAAATATTGCCATGTCTGAAAATTTTATCTTGTTCAATCAACTACTAAAGCAACTAACTTTTATGAATGTGGTGTTTACAGATGAGGAACTACTGAACATTATTATTGATGCATTGCCACCCATCTCCCAAACTTTTGGATTGGTAATTATGGGTCGTGAGATTCAACCAACATAAACACAACTTAAGAATTTTATATTTGAGGAAGATGGTTAATTCCAATTCGATGTTTAGAATTCTTCAACTATCAACAACACATTCATTTTGTCAAACATGTGTTATGGCTTAACAGACAAGGGATAAGATTTCCAAAATATCTTTAACAAAAATTACCAAAAGTTTTGAAATACCACATCAAAATGGTGTATTAAAAAAAAAGAATTAAACATTGTTGGAAAAAACCAAAGCATATACATTGGCACTTGACTACATATTTTTTCATAATAAGAAATAATAAAAAAAGCTGCCCCCCACACCATAGAGGGAAAAGTAGAAATAAAAGATAGCAAATAGGTATCTTTTCAATATACTATCTAAAGTTACATCCTTTCCAATATCTCAATGAATTTACTCAAGTTAGATTTATAAGCGCACTTCTATCTAAAAGTGCTTTCTTTTGGTTTGTACTTTTGTTAAAAAATGATTTATAATTCCTATGTGATCTAATATTATTCTTAAAAGTGTTAATGATAATATTTAGAGAAAGCAATTAAAAAAAAGTAATAGAAATAAATCTCCTATCTTTTTCAATAAAGATCACAATTAACTACCATATATGCTACTAAATTCCAAAATCTTATTTGTAATATGGATTAAAATAATGAAGCTTTTATTTATTAATTTTAATATAAATTAAAAGATAATATCAAAGACTTATTATTGATAATACTAAAAGTAGATACATTAAAAAAATTTATTATATAAGCCATTGTATACAACAATCAATTTTTTAAAAGACACCAAGAATAAAGATTTGGTTGAAGATGAATAAATTAAGTCATAACAATGACTTTAAAGTTTTTAAAAACTTATTCATCAAAGCCAAAGCCTATGCAAATTAATAGAATATGTTTCAAATTTTTTACTAAGCAAGAAAAGACTTAATGTTATTAAAAATGATTGTGCTTGTATTCTTGAAAACTTAAGTATACTACTCAATATTGTCCAAAGAAGCAATATTTCAAAATAAAGAGCATGATTGCTAAAAAAGATAATGTATCAAAAAACAAGTTTGTTCAACTATAATAGAAACCATGCAAGTAGAATCTTATGAAATACCTAATAAAAATTATATTCTTTCTTTAGACCCCTCACCTCACTTTATAATCAATGTTTATTTAGGACCTCAAAATTACAAAGCCTTTGCCTTATTAGATTCAAGAGTCTCAACTTGTTTCGTAAACAAAGATTTTGTTAAAAAATAAGAAATAAATTTAATTAAGAAAATTAAGCTTATGCATATATAAATCATAGATTGTTGTTTGTTGTCTTTAGGAGATGTTACCTATGAAACTATTCCTTTAGATCTAATAACTAATGGTTATAATAGCTTGATAGTATTTAACATTATTAGATCTTCTTGGAATCCAATTATTTTAGATTTATTGTGGTTAGAAAAATATAACTCTTAATAGATAGGATTTCATGTAACATTGATTTTTTTATAACATAATTCAAACTTTTGTTATTAAGATAGAAAGTCATAAGTCTAATACAAATAAATTCTTATTAGTAGATACAAGAGCTTTTATGCATGCTACAAAAGAAAGTTCATCTTTTATTATTTATACCACATTTATTTCTAGTAGTGAAAAGATTTTAAATGATATTCTAAATTAGTATAAAGTTTATCAAAATATTTTAATACAAAAAATACACATATTCTTTTAAAGCATTGATCTTATGAATGTTCAATTGATCTTTAAGAAAGAATTTAATTGCTATTTGAATCAATCTATAGCTTATGGCAATATTTATTTTAAGGCAAATTTTGATGCTTATATTTCTATAAAAACTACAAAAAAGTTGGCATAATATAAGATTGGTGCAAAAATAAAAGTTATCTTTAAAGCTTCAAATATTACTTTAGTATCTTTATTCCACTCAAATTTGTCTTTGTAAGTATAATGTATAAGTAGAGCAAAAAATTATTTTTGTTTTAGAAAGATCTAATAGTAATTAATAAATTTTAATTACAATTAGATATTATTTATTATTTTTAGAATCTTTTAATTCATAAAAATCTAATTTTTTTAAGATCCATCATAAGATAGTTATTTAAAATTATATATCATAAGAAGTCAAATTGAGTTGTATAAAATAATCACTTTTCTATCTTGGAATATAGTCTTACATTTGTAAGTTTTTAAAATATACAACAAATATGAAGTTTATTGCTCTTTGTGTTCTTAGAGTTGATTAAAATAAAGACTAGATAATTAACAACAAAATTACCTAAAAATTCTCAAAAAACATCATTTATTAGATGTTGAAAAGCAATAGATATATTTGTTGAAAAGCTATCGCTAAAGATAAGAAGACTAAAGACTCTTGAAACAAGACTATAAACAAAAAATGCATTGATAAGAGTGAGTAAGGTCTCACTCTTGCTTATATATATACTATTTGATTAAGAGCTATGTGGTGATGTTCTACAAGACTACCAACATAAGTCTAATCTACATGATACATATCTAACTTATAAGACATGTTTTCTATATGTGTGCCATATGGCAAACTTCTACTACAAGTAGCCAATATGTGTAATACTTAGCCAACTCCTTGGCTAAGTTTTCAACCTATCAATCACCTAAAGATACATATAAAATCAAATCCACATTTATAAAGCTTCTTTATAAGATAATATCAAATTTACTTTATTTTTATTTATTTCTAATTAATCCCTTTAAATCTAAATAAATATGTATGTTAAAGATATTAAATCATTGTCTATAATGTTATTATCAACTTACACAATTGATTGATAGTTTTTTTTTTTTTTTTTTTTTACTTTAAAAAAATTGAATTTGAAAGTATATTTGAAAGTATTGTCTATTGCTATTAGATATTTTTAATATTGGAAATTAAGGTGGTTTCTTGTCAATTTTAATGATTATTGATTTGAAAATACATATTCAAAATTTTAAATACATATTCAAAATTTTAAATACAAATTCAAAATTTTTAAATACAATCAATGTTTGTGAAAATTAATATTATTATATATGAAGTAGAATGTTAAAGGTGTTTCATGAAAGATTAATTAAAATAATAAAAAATATTATATCTTCCTTGGTGAAAGTTTTTTCCTGAGATTAAAAACTTGATTAAAACTGTACAATGTGATAATGATTTTGTCACACTATTTTTGTTTCATATTCATTATTCAAAAGAAGTTTAAATAAAATATTTAATTTAAATTCTTACAAGATAAAGAATAAGTGAACACAAAAAAAGCTACTTGCATTGATTTGTTTGAACTGATCATTATTTTCCAAAAGCTTGAACCCTATCATGAGATTTTTTATTCGCTGATACATTCATCAAATTTAGCATGATCCAGGGACGCTGTAAGGCCAACAGATATACTACAACAAGTATAAAAATTTGTCAAAACCAGGCTGCAGGTATATCAGTAATATTAGCCAAGCTCATATCATATACAACTTCTCAAACCCTGTCAGATTTGTTACAGTACAGATCTAAAGACCTAAGACCACATTTCATATCTTTCTTTAGTTCCCCTCAGTTGTATGGATTGAACTTGTTCGATAATCACACCTGATAAAGACATACATCATTTCACTCCGATTTATTAATTGAGAAGGAGAATTGCCGGATGCTTAGGGGAGAAGGAAACAAATTTTAGCATATGTAATTGAGGCAGACAGCAAATTTAGACCCTGCACAACATCTCCAACCTACTGCAAGAAGTGAATGACATTGCCAATGAACGTTGGCATCAGTTAACGAAAAAGACTGTGAGACTACAGATGCAAATGCCGAGAGGAATGTTTCACGGTTGCTAAAGATACACTCATCGGGAGTCACGAATCCACTCGTCCTCATAAAATAATGAAGGTTGTCCATGTGGGGCCTTCCGATATCCTCCCACCTGAAGCAGTCTAACTCATGTACAATTGTACATGAGACCTACAGATTTCAATATTCTACATATTTGTTTTGATGCGTTAATTCGTTTGTATAGTTACAGCTTGTTCGCATCACAGAGGCTCATCAACAAACTCGTCAATGTCTAGATTATCTAGGAAATGTGGCCTAGCTTCGAGCTCTCCAGCGATGCTATCTTCGTAATTATCCTTCGTGTACTCTCCATCAACCACACTGTTGTAGCTATGTCGAGTACTGAATGCGGGAGAAGACAATGATCTGAAATGCAGCGATGCAGACCTGGATTCTGTTTTGGCCATGGTGTCAGCATCAGGCTCCGTGAACTCGAACTTGACCCGCTCGGCCATGACACACATGGGACAGAGCTGAGGTTTCTGCCAACGCGTCTCCAGCAAGGTTTGTTGCAAGGTAGCAATTTCACTCTCATGTGCTTTTCGCAATCTCTCCATTTCCCTACGAATTGAATTGGCTTCTTGACCAGCCATTGCTGCCGCATCCTGGAAAGAGCAGGGAGTCACAGATCAGGAATATCCATCTAGTGACTACAGTCCACATCTGATGTCCGAGCAGGGACATGTCAGTTCCGTGAGTTACCACAATGTAGATGAAACTCCTAACAAACATTTTCTAATTGATCTGCGATTGCGTGATTTGAACAAAGAGGGAGTTCTCAGATAGATAGGATTCTCACCTGGGCCAAACACATTGCTTCCTCTGCCTCCTTAAGCCTCACCAGAAGTTCCCCAGCTGCTGAGACTGCTTCGACAGTATCTTGAAGCTGCGCACGCAAGGCCCGCACCTCGTCTCTAGCAGCATCTCTTTGAAGCTCGTGGTCAATCCTCATGGCCACAAGCTGCTCAGCTTGGCACTCAAACCAACTTGTATCTGTAGTGGTAACACCAGTCTTCTTGGCTAACTGCTTTAAATCCATCACGCCTTCTCGTATCTTCCGGTTATTGTCCAGGAGTGCAACATGCTTCTCCTGAAGCTCAGCATACTGCTCTAACTGCCGCGCATGACCTTCCATTGCCAATTGAAGCGCATCTTGAAGTTCCTTTGCGCACCTGGCTCACAAATGATAACCAAAACGCCATTTAGTGCTACATTTAGGAAATTTACTCTTTTCATATTTCTGCTGACTGAAGGGTGTGATAACGCTTCAACATTCACAATTCTCGGGATCCGAATCGGGAATGCGAAGTTGTTCACGGAAGCTTAATTGATAGAAAGTTAAATACCACCTTGTGAATATCATCCCCACATACCTTTTCTCTCCATCCAGTTCGACCCTCCTGTTCTCCGCAAGAAGCCTATATTTTTCAGACTCAGCTTGTATCTCTTCCATCAAAGTTAGCCATTTGAGCTCTCTTTCCTGCCACAGCTCCCTCTCGTTCGCCAGTTGATGGGTATCCAGCGATTCAGGGGTTGACGGACCGTCCGTAACTGCGGTGCGAAGGCTCAGATCAGCTGCTGATTCTCGAATCGACTTCGCGGTTATAGAGAGTCGCCGATGCTTTGCTGGTCCACGCGTATCACAATCGAGGTAGCTCTGCAGGTGGTTACGCAAGTCCATATTCTCTTGTAAAAGGACCTCTCTTTCTCCGAGATCAAAGAATGTCTTGTAACGATCCAACTCGTCTAGTAACCTCTCAAGCTCTATTTTGGAATGTGTTACCTCAGGGTGTTTGTCGAACTTCTCTTGTAAAATCTGACAACCACAAAATTCAATCCATCATGAGGACACAGTCAAAGAAAACCATACAAATATTTAGATAGACTTGGTTGGCAACTAGATATCAGCTCTTTAAAATTCCGCCACAGATCTTCAGTGTAGATTTAGCTGTTAACAATTTTCTTGACCCAGGTTCGTGAAAGACTAAAATGAATCTCTTACCTTATGCTCTTTCAAAAGGGCTGCCCACTCCTCATTAAGAAAGGATTCACGAGGCAGGACACCACTCATTAGGGATTCCAGTCGGACAATCTTTTCTTGACGACTTTGCTGGAGAATTGAATTGCATTCCCTTTCGTGCTTATATTGACGCATCTGCATTGTAGAAAAACGGTTTGTCTCCATCAGATTACGAACGGGCAAATGGAACGCAAACACAAGTAACTAGTACACAAACATCGGAGTTTCTGCAGAAAGGTCCTACATGACTTCACTTCTGGAAACCAGCCCTTTTAGAGAAACAGCGCTACACATCACGGTCAGCAATATTTTACTCAAGAGTGGTGCAGCTGAATGAGTACCAAACGGTTAAGCTGTTCAATCTCTGCAGCTTGCTGGGTCATAATCTCTTCAGCAGCCCTTTCCCTTCTGATAGAACCAGCCAGCAATGCCTGAATTGCCTGCATACATGAATGGTAATGGAATCTAAGTATACACGTAAGTCTTAGTAGAACATGGTATATATAGTGTTCAGGATCAAGATACAGGAAATTAATTACCCTTCAGCAATGCGAAGTCAGAGAATTTGATGGGAATTCAGCATATCAGAAGGAATTCAGAACATGCTGAGGTACTGAAATAGGCACCTGTACATAATCCGGTTTGAGGATACCGACTTCCTTTTTGTTCCCCTTGTTGTCTTCCACCGTTTCAATAGAACTACTTGGAGAGTCTGGCAGCATCGTCTTGCAAGCAACCTCGTTGAGGTTAGCCAACTCAGAACTCTCAGTGAGTTCCTTGAGAGGGGATGTCTGCACTCCTATCTCCTTAGTCCACGATTTCCTGTTCGGAGTGACAGGTGGGGGGATGGATCGGGAACCTGCCCCAGAAGAACGCATAGAGCATTGTGAACAAATACTAGTTGCGCTTTGGGGGCTTTTGGGGTCTGTAGATTGGAAGGAGAGCCTTAAGTTTGTCGACCTGCAGGAAAGAAATTTTAAAAACTGGGTAGCATTTGTGTTAACTAGAAGTACACAAGTACCCGTCAACGCGATAGCGTTGACTCTCTAAATGGTGTAGATGATACCTACGGCAGAATGCATCAATGGCAACATTCTTGGACTATCTGTATATCTCTCATTTTTATGTCAGAATCAGTTTCGAATCCTTACCTTCGAAGAGAGTTCTGTTGATGATTATCCAAAATTTGAAGACCTTTCTGAAGGCTCGCTGCAAGGCGATCTCTGGGAGAAGGAGAAGGCAAAGACTTGGCACTCCGAAGACGGGTTACGCCAACAGGGGCTCCGAAGTCCACAACGTCTTCGTTCTCTGCAAGCGAAACAAGCCCAAACATGGCGCTAGTCCCGATAGATTTTTTGTTTCCTTTCGGAGAGTAGCTGTACTTCGGCGACTGAAGATTAGGTGACGTATCCGTGGGTAATCTACTCACGTCCACATTTTGGAGACTAAATCTGCGACCTTCTGCCAAGCCGAGCGTCGGAGACTCCAAGTTTGGAGTGTCATCCAGTTCTTTACATGGTGTAAGAGCTGTTTCACCATTTGAAGATGCTGACCTACCATTCGCCACATCTATATTGAGCATCTTCATCTTAGCGGACTTCTGGGCACCTGGAGAATCCATATTCAGAGACTGAACTACATTAGTTCCACTCGAGAGACGAATGTTTGCTTCGTCTGTACTAGATTCTATGTCTTCATCGGTTTTCTTACCATCGTCAGCTACATCGTCTGCGAAAAGAGGAGCTGTCATTGGATGGCCAAGGCTGAGCCTGAGTAGGTTGTAGCTTCTGCGTGCGTTCCACCCAGTGGTGTATCCACTGCCATCGCCGGCCTCTGTGGCGGTGTTGGATTTCATCCTTGTCAGTTCCTCCTGCACGCAAGACATACATTCGACGTCGTATTCATGAACAATACTAGAAGGGCAGTGTTGGTCATGCACGTTAGTGGGCATTAATTGTAAAATGTCCACACATGCGTAGGAATACATCTGGTACAACAATTTGCTACAAATCCAGCAGGAAGTGAATAGCACAGAAATTGACACAAAAACTGAACCTTGAGCTGACGGATTTGTTCACGGAGAAGATTCACATCATTAGCTTTCTCCTCATTCACGATAGCCTTATTCTGAATGGCCTTTGCCCTCTGAGCAAATCTTAATGTACTAAGCGTTTCGTTTCTGCAGCTGCAAGGTAGAAAAAAATAAAAAAGACCCTCAATTACCCTCTACTTTCACGATGATATAGTGCTTACTGTGCATTCTAAAACGCATGTCAGAAATCTTATCACATAAATATATATACTCACAATTCCCGCTTGCAAACAGAACAAGGCCACGTCGGATATTAACAGGAGCATACCAACTTGCTGGAGAGACGGTACAAATCATGGCGAGCCTCGCGTTCCCGCCAAGCGACTCTTGAAGCAAAAATGTTAAACGAGAATCTCTATATGGTACATGACGATGCTTTCCGGATTGAGATACTTCGGCCAATATGTTAATAACGTTTCTGCAAAACCAGTCAGCATGTTCTGTTAATTCGAAGAATGTACATGTAGTCTAAAGACATTGCATACACCACCTCAAACAGGACTGCCATGAGTCTTAAGTGAGTGGTATACCCGAGCTGGGAAAGAGATTTGTTGATGTTTCCAGCCTCTTTGAGCCGCTCACCAGCAGACCCCGTCTGTTTTTGTCTCTCTGAGCCTGCCAAATCTACAAGATTCAGTCTACTGCTTCTGACACTGCTGATACCCTCGCCTTCACCCTGCATGTCAACAAACCAAGTCACATGTTGAAAGTTGGATCAAGCCTCTGTCCATTGATACGGTGGCTATAGTTCCAGAAAACAACAACAGGAAAGCCATGAACTGTAATAAAAAAGGTAAATTTTGGTGTTGTAGTGAAGACCTAGTACCTTAGATCGGGACTCTATCACACACGTAAATACGCAATGCGAGCGCGAGCTTTCACTATTCATTGATGTGGCACTAACTCTTCTGTTAGCCAAACCCTGATCAAAAGCAGTACCCAAGTCATTTCGACCACTCTTTTCTGATGTCTTCAATCCTGCTCAGAAGAAGATAGGATGTTATCGACTGGTGAGAGAGGGACTCACCTTGACCAGGACCCGCGTGACTTCCTGAACTGATGAAACGAACTCTTCACTGAGATTTTCCACATATACACCCGTTTTCGTATCTTCTCTAATCTGCACATACACAGGGTCCAATGGACATCAACTTCAAATAGTAAATTAAATCATGAGTAGATCAGAGATTGAATATCAGTCCGACTCATGATCATCCGAAGCATGCGCCTAAGGACACAAATGTACACACTTAGTTAATAGTGGTTCGTTGCGAATCAGCCTACAAATTACCATGAGATTCTTCTGAGAGGGCTCCAACAGATCTGTGATCTGTTCATTGTAGATCTGCACCAATGAGCACCACTATTGTCAAATCGACGCGATTTTACTATGTAAATTACGACACGCGTCTTAACCAAATTGTAACCAGGCGGAACAGATAAAATAACAAATAGGACAGATCTTGGTTACCTCTAAGAAGGAGCATCGACACTGGTATACTAGTTGCTTGTTGATATTATTTAATTCCTCCTGCACACAGACGTCTTAGTAACCACCACACGCGTAATTACGAAGTAAATGATGGAAAAGAAGATTTAATTTCGAGTGGAGAAACAAGCGTACCCTCTGGATCCTCGCAAAAAGCATCTCAAAAACTCGGGATGTAAGGCCTCGGTCATCCGATGGAATGTCCTGCGTGTCAGACATCACGCCCCACATGGTGTGGGTCTTCCCACTACCCGTCTGTTAAGGTCACATCGAGTGAGAGCGTTAGACTAAACCCACATGTGATTTCCATCATTTCCATGAAGAGAGCTGCAATCTGCTTCCTAGTGAAGAGTGTCGACCTAACCACAACTGAAAATAGCGAGATGGAGCGACAATAAGAGCTCTAAAAAGTTGACAGACCTGCCCATATGCGAAGATGGAGCTGTTAAAACCAGCGAGACAATTCTCCGCCATAGGTAGCCCCACCAAGTTGAAGACAGCTTCCTGCATGTATTGTTTGCAGAAACACTTTTAGACGTGTACTAACTACTCCGCGTTCTGGAATTAACCAGCCCTATAAAATGTCTTACCCAACTGATTGATGGAGGGTTGATAGACATAGAATTTCTTTTAACAGCTTTGAGTACCAAAGAAATCCAAGAGAAACAGTGCGCGTGTAAACGCATGCATCGTAGAAAAATAGAAATTTACCTGCGATGAAACTTCTCCTGCCACTGCATCGAATGTGAACTGCTGGTCAGAGAGCGATACGCTCGTAGACGTCACACTACGCACTACTCGATCAGCTTCCTCCGCCTCTTCTTTCTTATTCAAGGGCCTGACTCTTAGAATTACCTGTCCCCCCCCCCCCCCCCCCCCGAAATTGAAATGTCATCTCAGTAACTAACAACAAGCACTGCATGGGGTATGCCAAAGTGGAACCCCAACTGTGAGATTCACAACTGAACGAAATTGATGGTAAAACTTCACATGTATCTATGTATGTGTGTGCGTATATATATATAAATATATATTGATAACAAACAGAACAACAATAATAAGTTTGAAGAACCAGTTATCCTCTCGTTCATCACTTACCTTCACTCCTGAATCAGCAGAAGATGTCTCTACAGCTGAAGTCTTGATCATGTCGTCTGAAGAGGCACCTGTGGGCATATCCCAGTTTATTTTCCTTTTAATGTTGCTTCCCTGATCGCATCCAGGGATCTTGTCTTGCAGTTGCGTGAGAGCAGATGCATTTCGACCTAGAGAAGGCCTTGGAAACTTCGGTGGAAGAGCTGGACTATTGCTGATTTTAGCTGCCTTCGGCTTATCAGCCTTCGACTGCACAGGTGACATTCCCTCAGCGACCTGCGATTCGTGTGTTGTCACTCATCAAGCCATTAAAGAAGGCACTAACACTTTCCAGTGGTATCTAGTAGATGCAAAGAGTTCAGGACATGGTTGGAATTTACTCTTCATCGGATCCCAAAATTTTGAATGCAGCAAGCTTTTAGACCAAGTAACTGGGCTCTCGCTTGAAATTGCAGCTGAGACCGGAACAATATCTTGAGGGTGTGGGACTTGCATTGATTTCCATCTACGTGAACCCGACGACATCAACACTCAATTCACTTATGGACCCCACTTGGCGGAAGTTACCAAGCAAACAAAACGAAAAAAATTCGGCCAAGAATAAGTCGTGAAACACATCCACATCTAAAAACCGCTCCTCTTTGAGAATTCAAAAGTCCCCGCAATTTTCCCTCCCTGAACATTCGTGCAGGCAATCCATACACACTCATGCGAGACACTATCTCGGGTTCGGATGCGACCATAGCGATTGACACATGTAAATCTAGGGCCCTTGCGCAGAGAAAAAAGCAGCTTCGACACCTTTCACGAAAGCAGCACAGCACAAACTACGACACTCACATTGACATCAGGAGGCACATTCTCGCCGTTACTGCGACCCTTCCGAGCTGGACTAGCACTCTTCGCACGATGCGGCCCGACGCAGAAAGGCTCCCGCTCTTTGACCACCGCATCTACTGCACCTCGCGGGGAGCTCCTCAACCTAGCGGAAACCCCCTTCATGTCGTAATTTGGCACCGCAACTCCTCCAATTCGGCTTCTACTCCCAGTTCCCTCCAACAAACAAAATCTCTCCACTAAATTCCCGCCTCAAGCATTGCGCCGTAAAGCCCCACTCTCAACTCTATAATCTCTACGATCTTCCACTCCACCGCCACATACAGCCAACGATAGGTCACACACTTTGTTCACAGAATCTACATCAACTAGCCACTGTCGACACTCCAAGGGCGAACGGGAGCTAAAATTACAGCGACGGGTATCGAAAGCAGTAGAAGCAGAGATCGGAGAGGGAGGATGATACATCAGAGCTACGCTGCGGGAGGGGGGGGGGGGGGATTGGAGCCAAGCTCTGGTTCTGAATTGCATCGGAATTTCAAGCTCAGAAGGACCAACAGTAACAACAACGTTGGCGAAGTCGAAGGAGCCGTTGCGTTGGAGGCTGGGGCCCGTTCCGTAATTTCAAATGTATAGGGGTTTCCGCGTATGGGGTCAGCACACGTTGCATGTGCTCTTGTCTATCTGGCGCCAGATGGATGCTGGCGTGGCACGCTTCGCTGATGACCTGGAGAATGCACTCTCTGAGCCCAGCTCAGCTAATTCTCCCATTGGCTTGCTGACAGTGCATTTGCTCGAGACACAAGGATGGTGTTGGGGCCAATGTGGACTTTGCTCTTGGACCCTTGGGCTCTGTGAAATTTGGAGCTGCATTTTTTGTCTGGATCTGGATTTCTAGGAATGATGCTAGGTGAAGGATTAGAGTACAAAGTGAGGTTTCTTATTGTGCGCTATCATCAATGTTGCAAAATGCATCATTAGCAAAACATCTTGTACCTATTACAAGTCAATTTAGTCAAAATGGATACAAATATAGTAGTTGGTTGGGCTGAAGTAATATAGAAGGGCAAGTCCATTGCCTCTAATGTAGTAGCAGGGCCATTAAGAAGCACAAAAGATAAACCATCACAAAAGAAACCAGTATCAATGTAAGAACTAATTTGAAGCAAAAGAACACTCAACATCAATCCTAACAGGAAAACATGACCCAAGGCACAATTAACTATTTTAAAATACAACCTAGAGTAATGTCAACACTTCTAAAACAATCTACTATTTTTAACAACTAAAAAAAAGCTTACTTCTCTATCCAATTAATTATTTCTTAGAAATTGTCAATAATTGCACATGGTTAAAATACTTTATACATCTATCAAAGTTTTTGGTTAGCATTAATCTCTAACAAGAGCTCTGCTATAACAATAACTATATTAGTTATACTATCTTAGTTCTATAGAAACAAAGAGATTCTATAGAAGCCTTCATAGATATTTCAACATTGACAAGCAAACAACTTTCAGCCTTTTATCTATTGTAGGGCTTACATGATAGATCTTAGGACTATAAATTGGCTCAATCTCACTTGGTTAACAAAATCATGCTTCATTTGTAAGGATGGATTATTTTAAAATCAAAACATATCAATCCTCTTTAATTTTGGAATGTTACAAAATAGCTATATAGTTAGAGACTATTATCTCAAAAAAAATCTCTTTGTACCATAATTACTTTCATTTGCTACAATGAAGAAGTTTGCACATTAAGAAATTCAAATGATCTAACATAGTTGATCCTCTCTCTTACCTTCCAAAAATCTCTTCTATTGTAATATTAGAAGCACATATAGAATATGAAAGCACTCAATATTTTATTTTTCCAAAAAAGTAGATTATTTGTCATACTTGAAGATTCCTACTCTTATCTATTTGTAATAAGATCAACTACGCACAAAGGAACCATCAAGAGGGAGTTAAAGATCCTACAAGTGGATACACCAAATGTATGACAACTTTATTCTTGCGTCAATAAATATATAAGGATTAAGACAAAATATTACAAGGATACACAAAAGATATAAGGTCAATTTTTTTTTTTTGAATTCTTATTTCAATCTTGAAATTCTTTTGATTCAAGAGCGCAAACTTTTCTTTGAAGAAGATAAAAGTTACATTAAACAAATTGAATTTCAAAGAAGTCTTGCTCTTTGAAATAAAGCTACTTATAATATCAACAAAGATAACTTCAAAGGTAGCACATGTATTCTACTCTTGGATAGACTCATCAACTATCAAGGACATAAATCTTAGAGAATTAAAAGATAAATATATTCTTGTGTCACTCAAAAAGATTGAAAAATCAGTCAAAAATAATACAAGATTAAACTAGAATAGTTACTGCCAAAAACAAGAAGATTAAAAAATCTTGAAAAAGACTAAAAACTAGAACAATATTGATAAGAGTAAAGAAGGTTTCACTCTTGCTTTTATATATACTATCTAACTAGGAGCTATGTAGCAAAGTTCTACAAGACCTCCAATACATGTCCAAATTATGAGATATATTTCTTAACTTGCAAAGAATTTTTTTACATATGCACTACATAATTAATTTGTTTTACAAGCTACCAATGCGTGTGATATGTGGCTAACTTGATGATTAAATTTTTAACCTGTCAATCAACTATGAACACATGTAAAGTCAAAGTTGCATCTATGAAGCTTTTAGTAAGTTTTTCTATAAAATATTATCCAATTAATCTATTTTTTTATTTTTAATTAATCATATATATACTTATTAGAATAAATAATATTTCTATTATTATATGGCATGATTTTCTATCTAAAAATATATCAAGTACCTAGCTATAGAGAATTTAGCTTTAATTTATTGAATAAGTTCGAATAACTGAAGTATTCTTATTATAGAAGTCAAATAAATATAATAGTATAAAAAGCTATTCTACTAATAAAATCCTTTATATTTAAAAAAATTTATACATAAGGCTTTCTAAAGTATCTAAAAATGCCCTAATATCCTTTGCTATACCAAATCATAACTAATTAATTGTCAGTGAGTTTGATTTTCCATAAGCTCAAAGAAAATCCATAATCCTCATACAAAAATTCATCTTTATATCATGAATTTTTTCATAACTCCATATCTCCATATTTTACATACATATAAAGTCTTGGCTTTCAAAAATTCCTTTACTTTGTATAAAATATCCAAATTGTAACAAAATCCTTATAAAATATTTTTCTCCTATAAAGGTTTTTTTTTCCTAAACTTTAAAAATTTATATCTCTTGATCCAATTGTTCAATTTTTTTTCCAATATCTAGATGATATAGACTTTATTCTTAAGCTTTACTATAAAAAAATGAATCATAAATCTACTACAAATCATCAAAAATCTTAGATACTCTAGTAGGTACTTTAAACTCTAATTTACAAGTACTTAAGTACTATTTTTTCTATATCTCAAAAATCCAAGATCCAAATGGCACAAAATTTGTGTGTAAAGTTTAGTAATATGATAATATATATTTTTAGAGATGTTTAGCCAAAATCTTATCAAATTGCTGGAGATATAGCTTAAAACACAACTACTAGTTAATTAGATCACTTATTGCCTTTAAATTGCAAGTGTTGACTTCAACTTCCAATAAATCCTTCATGCTAGCTTAGAATTCATCAAATAATATATAAAAAATATATCCAAAAAAATGTTCTTTTCAACCCTAGTAATTGATCCTTCATTATTTTTTTTTATATATGTGTTATGTCCAAAAGAGTGAAAGTAGATACAAATCAATACCTTTATTTTGAGCACCTATATTTCTTTTATAAAAATTCCAATTTATACAAAATTTTCACCAAAACCATAGCAAAAAACCTAAATTCTTTGAAATTTTCCTCCCAAGTTCAAATGACCTCAAAAGAGTAACTTTAATCTCTAATAAGGCTTCAAGCAGCCTCTTTGAAGTCCATTGGACATGCTTTTTGGCTAATAGCAATGGAGATTTTCATCATCCATCTCCATTCATTCATATGGATGCTTTAACTACTCCTTTTGCTATCAAAATCCCTCTCCAACAATTTTTTTAATAACATTTACATAATATATGTCCTAAATATCAAATAAAAGAAATAAAATAAGATTTTAAGAGTCACCAATGTCTAATAAAGATATTTCTAAATATATAAAACTATTATTAATATAAAATTAACCTCAATAATAGCCTTTTTAAACTAATTACTTCAAAGTAATAATCTAATCATATTTTGTGACTAACTAAAATCTAATAATATGACTTTTATTACATTATATAATAAATTATTATATATATATATATATGCATTATTTTTTCATGATAGCCAAACCATAATATGATACCATGATATTATTCTTCTTTCTAGAAATAAGTTTCATAAGGAGCGATGATTACATATTGATGAAGTCTAAGATATGACAAATTTTGTTTATCATATATTTTCATCTTTGTTTTTTTTAAAAATAGTTAATAAGTTTTTTTAATCATTACTAATATTTTATTTTAAGGTGAGAAGACCATTCCATTATTTGATTGTTATTGATGCCTTTGTAGCTTCTACCAAAGGAAATATTTTGTCATAGACAATTAATTGAAGAAGGTTTGAGAAGATTCTAGGAGGTTTTAGAAAATTCTAAGAAGATTTTTGTAGATCCTAAAAGATTTTAGAAGATTCTAAAAGTTTCTAATAGATTCTAAGAAGGTTCCAAAAGGTTCTAATAGATTCTAAGAAAATTCTAGAAGATCATAGGAGATTTTGGAAGGTTCTAAGAGGCTTTAGATGATTTAGGAAGTTATTGAAGAAGGATCTTAGGCTTGCTTTGTTTTCAAGCATCATGAAAATTTTTCAAGTAGCTTCTAGGATCTAGTATATATAGGAATCAAAGTTGAGGGGATCTTCAATCTTGACAACTCACTTCTTGTGGTCTAGCCAAGACCTTCTTGAGTTGTATCCAATTATTTTTCTAATGTCGAGCTAATTTTATTTTTTGCTCTTGAATCCTTATTTTGTATACAGTTCCTAATAATTTATTGAGACAACCATAAAATAATATTAGAAACTTGATCTTTCTTAATAGAGAGTAGATTATTCCTATTCTTAAAAGTACTATAGCATTTTAGAGGTTGCAGATTATCCTCTTCTAGATTGTTATTGTTCTTTTTTTAATATTCTTTTGATTGTTTTTTTATACCATAGATTCTATTTTTTTTCCTTTGAATGCATGTGTTTCTCTGATTTTTTATGGAAGAGAATGGAAAAGTCAATATAATAGACTCCAAAGAAATCAAGTTAGATTCTATTATTAATGCTCTTGATGCATTGAAGATTAGGACAAAGACTTTGTCAAAATAGAATGAAGAACTATATATGACCATATAGAATGGTCAAAGAGCCAAAGTGCCTCAACCACTACATCAAATGATAATAGAGGTTCCATATTTTCAAACAACTATA